ATGTATACATATACATATATACATATATACATATATACATATATATATATAGTAGTATCACTAATGAATCTTAAAATCAATACAGAATGTGAATAATTATGAAAGAATCGTCTGTAGAAAAAAATTATACTTTAATATTGGGTTGTTCATTGACAAGGTGGTAACCTAATCGACGTCGGAAACGAAATATAGAAATAAAATGATAAGACCAAATTTCGATGTACAAAAAAAGTGTTTTATTGGAATTTTTCTATTTTCTTTTTTATTATTATTATTATTATTATTCTTCGGTAAAATCTCGTTCGCTCTGTGAAAGTGTTTCTTACTCAGTTGTTCTCGTTTCAAAGAAAATAAAAATTGACTCTGCGCGCTGAGCTAATCAGCAAGGAAAATTCAAATGTATGCATAGTCGTTTCTGTTTTTAGATACATATTTCAAAGACATGTAATGAAAAATTTGTCAATAAACGCGCTTGATATGTTGTTACGTTTATTTGTCAATGGAAGAGAATTTCGTCTGTTCGCATTAATATTCTTCTAGACTTAGCGAACTGGAACATAGATAAACCTGATCACTAAATATTTCCATTTCTTTCTTTCTTTCTTTCTTTCTCTTTGTTTACTGTCTTAAATGGATTCCTGCGATATACAATTATACAAAACAGTACGGATTACCTTTTCGTATGTCGTATATAATACAATCTTACGTTCTGAACTGTAACCCTTATTCGCTACCTACTTGCATGGGTAGGAAAGTGAAAAGCATATACAATTTAAAAAAAGACACCTAGAGTACACACTTTGTAAAGGTCATGTTGAATCAAATTGTGTTCGACGACTTTAATATTTTAATCGGATAATCAGAATATTTTTCTTTCCTTCTTTTTAACACTAGAACTACTGTGTATCAGTCAAAATCATTGGTTTCGATTATTTTGTTTGGCAATTATTGATATTAACAGTAAAACTACTGTAATAATTAAAATGACTGGTTTTCATTTTTTTGTTTCGCAATTATTATTTTAAACGCATTGAATATTCGAAATGAGCTTGAAAATAAATAGTTTCACTTGAGTACTATAACGAAGGGACTGAAAATAATCGATTGTTACAATTTTTATAAGCATTACATATAAATCATATAATATCCTCGGTAGTTCCAGCGTTAAACAATCAGAAGAACGAAATGGAAGTTACAACATTGATCTGTAATAAAATGTAACATTAGAAATGTGCGTACTCTCGTGTCACCGTTGGAAGATATTACGTATGTTCCTAGTTCCCTAAGACATTCTACCGTGTAATCGTTCGTCGTAACGTTCGGCTGGTTCAAGTTGCGCAAAAAACGTGAATCCTCGATTTTAAACATTAGTACTGACCGTGGCTACGATTCGTTTATAAAACACTCGACGGTTACTCGTACGATAACTTAACGTAGGAACTTAGAAGCGTTAGATGTGCTGGACGCAACGAGATAACGAATAATTTCAATGCAAAAACAATCGTGTCTGAGAAATAAAATATTCAATTATCCTTTATCATCCCTCTTTACCAAATCAACATTTCACCAGTACCACTCTTTTAACACTATTTCTACCTTAGTTGTCAAAAGACACCTTTTCAAGTTTTAACTTACAATTATTTTCTCAGTTTAATAAATTATCCTCAATTGAATTTTGGACATTTCCCGTAGTTAACACATTGACTGCCACGAAAATCTTCAACGTTTTATGTGTCATCTTTTTTGCAGCGAAGACATAAATGATTATCAAATATTTGGTACTACAATTCTTAATTTACGTTATTATTTATTTATTTACGTTGTTGAACATTTTCATCGGATGTCAGTTATCTTAGGTATAATTGTTTTCAAGTCATTTGAAAGCACCGGTCATCGGTGACCACCGTGGCAATCAACGTGTTAATTTTATAATTGTCATTGGAAAACTCTAAAAGTCAATTCAGAATATACCACTAAACTCGGAAAGGAATTTTAACAGTAGAACTACCAGATGGGTCAAAATGAAAGAAAATTTAAAAAGACGATTTAAGTGCTCGGTAGTTCTAGCGTTAACCCTTTGCACTCGAGAGGCGACTCTCAATTGCCATTTAATTGAACACAGAAAAATTATAAAATGAAAACTTTAATATAAAATGTTGAATAAGGTACTAACACATGAAACAGAAATAAAACAATTCTGCCCCATAATTTACACACAATGTTTCTTCATGTAAGTTGCAAATAATATTATATTGCAAAAAACGCAGCAAAATGATAAAATGAAAAATTCAATATAAAATGTTGAATAAGGTATCAACACATGAAGCGTAGAAATAAAACAATTCTGCCCCGTAATTTACGCACGAAGTGTCTTCATGTAAGTTGCAAATAATATTGTTCATATTTCGTCAGAAAATAATGAATGTGATAAAAACTATTGTCGAGTGCAAAGGGTTAAGACAAAATCTCAGGAGCCATTCGACACCTTCAGTAAAACTAGTGTTAACTTCAACCGCCACACGGGTGTGGCATAACCGTCTTACGTTCAATTCTAAATCCCTATGTTAAGTATCCGCATGAATCGACAATTACGAGGGGGCTGAGGGGGAGGAGAAGACGGCGTAAGCGGAACGTCAGTACACTTGAATCGCGACGTCCTTCCGCTCCGTTTTCTGTTTCCATCTATCAAAATCACACACATCGATATTCGTCTTCACGCATGTCCCACGTCGCGCAACACAACAGAATGAAAAATGTACGGTCGGAAAAACTGACGAAACATCCAAAAATCCACGAAAAGAAAAAGAAACAAAAATCTCTTGTTATTTTCCTCCGTTGTTATTTCTTTTCTTTTTTCTTTCT